TCCCCCACTATCAACATCCCGGGAGCAACCATTGACCAGAAACTCAACTGGACACACCACATTAATACAGTGGCTACAAGAGCAGGTCAGAGGTTAGGAGTGCTGAGAGGTGAGTAATTCACCTTCTGACTCCTTAAAGCCTGTGCACCATCGACAAGGCAGAGGTCAGGAGTGTCATGGAATACTCTTCACTTGTCTAGATGAGTGCAGCTCCAACAACACTTGACAAGCTTGACACTATCCAGGTCAAAGCAGCCCGCTTATAGAGTTATAGAGTCATACAGCATGGGAACAGACCCTTTGGTCCGACCTATCCACGCTGAGCACCTCCTCAAACTAGACTAGCCCCACCTCCTGCGCTTGGGCCATATCTCTCCAAACCATTCCTATTCATGAACTTATCCAAATGGCTGTGAAATATTATAACTGTATCTGCATCCACCACATTCTCTGGTGGTTCATTCCACACATGAACCACTCACTGTGCAAAAACATTGCCGCTCATGTCCTTTTTAAATCTTTCTCCTCTCATCTTAAAAATATGCCCCCTAGTTTTGAACCCTGCTCAGAGGGAAATGACCCTTGTCATTCACCTTATTTATGCCCCTCATGACTTTATAAATCTCATTTCCCTTTAATGATAAAGGACATTCCTTCTTGCATTTCCTCATAAGGACATCAGACTTATTGAACCTCATCTGGCCCTGTCACATTAGTTGCTCCTTTTATGTTTGGAAAGAATTGGGCTACACATTCAAAATACATGGGATCTGCTTCAGGATATAATGTCCCACTGTTGTTACACCACTGGATTATGTTACTCAACAACACAGTCAACGTTCTTTAAAGTCAGAATCTGGGACAAGCTATAGGAATGACAATCCTGCTGAACACTAGAAGGTATCAACAGCAAAATCCAATTGTTAACATGTACCTGATGATTAGCTCAGAAAAGCAATGGATATTTTTCCGACTAGGAGACAGTAAGGACTTCAGATGCTGTAGGCCAGAGTAAATAAATGTGGAGCTGGGCAAACACAGCAGGTCTGACAACATCAGAAGGAGCACATTTAGTAGTTGGAGGTTATTATAAAGATTTCATCGTGATGTTGTGACGTTGAAAGACTGGTCCTCTCAGGAAGAATGATTTTGCAGCCTGGAGTGTGGGGGTGTTTAAGTTCTTGCTTCTACAACTATCAGTGAATTGGGAGCTTGGGCTTTTGAAGCCTCAGGGCTGCTGAGGTTTGTGGTCTGAATAATTGTTCTCACTCTCTATTCATGAATTATATTTCATAGGGCCACACCTAAGCTCTGGAATTTTTTTGAACACTCTTGTGTAGGACCTTGAGACATTTTACCATGTTAAAGGCACAATATAAATGCAATTATTGTTGTTCTGTTGAGTAACTGCCCTTTTTGACTATGCCAGATGATTGATGGATTTCACTAGTATCTCTCTAAATGACTCAACAAGCAAAATGTTGTGTTGTCTTGTGCATTGCTCAGGAAGTCAGGTAGCGCTCTGATCTATTATTTATAGCAGACTAACAATAAAAAGTAGATGGAATAAATTGGCCAGCCTGATAACAAAGAAGCCAACATTCTCAAACCATCTGCTAACTGTCCACACCCACTAAACACTGCAGATGCTAGAAACCTGAAAGAAAACAAAACAAAACTCTGGAACTACTCATTAGGGCAGGCAACACCTGTGGAGGGAGAGTTTCAAGTTTGTGACCTTTCATCAGAATGATAATAAGGTAAATTACCAGATAATCTGTTTCATGGTGATGTTGGTTGAGGGATAAATATTGACCAGGACAACAGAAAAACTTCCTGTTCTTCTTCAAAGTAGTCCATGGGGATCTTTTGCGTTCGCATCAGAGGGCAAATGGGGTTTTTGTTTAATGTATCGTTTGAATGATGGCACCCCTGACAGTATTGCAATCGATCAGTACTGCTTCTCCAGCAGCACAGTGCCCCCATAGTACAGCCTCTCCAACAGTGCAACAATCCCTCAAAACTGACCTATCAACCACACACCATTTCCCCAGTGCCAATCATGCAACAGTTTAATTCACTCTCAGTACAGCCCTTCCAACATCGCCAGACGTCCAGTAAGATGGTAGTGGCGTAGGGCTTCTGAGCCTGGAGCCCATCCACAATTCATTTTGTTTCTTTCTTCTTTTTTCCTCTCTTCTCTCTTTTGTTTTCCTCTTTTATTTATTTCACTGGCCTCTTGGTGAAGAGGTTGGTCACAGTGACTGCATTGGTGGTGGCGAGTGAGCTCAGTAGCGCAGCCTGGAGTAGGCCCAGCACTGCCTGATGGTGGTGACGTAGGAGATGAGTTTAGATTCTGGCAGCTTCTGCATCAACGAGGCGGCCCTATTGCCGGCTCATGGCTGCTGCGCAGTGGCAAGACTGAATCTGGTGCAGATTCATGGAGGCGGTGGAGGAGGAGATGAGTTTGGGCCCAGTACGAGGACCGGCGGCATTTGTGGTGTCCGCGTTGGCGAGGTCCAATGAGGACTCATAGTGGTGAGGGCATCAGTGGAGACAAGGTGGCACCGAGAGGTGGCGACATTTGTTCTAGTGGCAGTGAAACGGCGAAGGAGACTCGTGCCTGGTCATTAGGCCCCATGACCCATGATGGAGCACTTAACAAGAAGCACTGTGAATTTGGACACTTTCTTTACTTCTTAATTTTTATCCTTCTATTCTATTTTTTGAATACGACACTCTTCACCGTATTTTTATAACAAGACACACGTGACAATAAATAAATCAAATTAACAGTGCAGCAAGCCTTCGGTACTGCTTCTTTGACTATGCAGCTCAATACTGCCCCTCCATCAGTGGAGTAATCCTTCACTACAACTCCTTTGACAATTTAGCACTCCCTCAGTACTGATTTTCTGATGCAGCACCTTTCCTTCAGTACTGCAAAAAGGTTAAGCAGTGAAGCAATAGAGGGATTCAAGATAATGAGGTGTTTTGAAAAAGTAGGTATGCAGAAGTTACTTTTCCTGGCAAGTGAACCAGCAACTAAAGGTTGCAGCTTTAAAACATTTGGCAAATGAACTAGATGGGAAAAACTTAGGCTAATTTCTTTTTACACAGAGGATTGTTAAGAAGTGGAAGGCATGACCTGAAGGGTCAGTAGAATCACTTTTCATGGGAAATTTCAAAAATCAATTGGGCATTCACTTGAATGACTAAAAGAAAATTATGGTGAAAGGATTGGGTGGGGTCCAATGGATCACCCTTTCAAAGAGCTAGCATGGCTTGCTTCTCTGTTCATTCTTTAAGTATGATCCTGCCAGTCTTAGGATTTGCAAACTCAGATTGCATTGTAGATTTAATGAGAATAATTGAGCACTCCTGCAAAAGCCATTTTATCCACTGCCTAATGGAATCTTTGCTACATTAGACATTAATTGATGTTCTGGGCTCCTCTAGTTGTATCCAGTTACAGGATCAATTAAATTATTTTTAAAATACACAATCAATATGATTTTATCTTTGCCTCTTGCTGTTTATCCAGTTCATAAATCTTCAATTATTTCCAGAATGTGGCTGGATGGTGCTCGTTAATGGTCTCCAAAGGCAGAAACTGAGTGGCATTCAGTGCAATCAAATGAGGGAGAAAGGAGAGAGAATGAAAAAGGGAAAAAGACACACATCTCCTGCATTGCCATTATAAAGAGGACACTGTCTCCTTGCATTGAATGGGTTCCTGAATCACTACAGGTAAGACCTTTTCTGGAGCAGTTCCATGCCACAATACTCCTCTTAGTTTTCGAAAGAGCCAATAGCACCTTAAGTTTTTTTTAAAAAAAAAACTCCCTGCAACCAGCCTGCCTTAAAACATTCTGAACAAACTGAAAGCTGTCTAGCTTATTGGTGACTGGAGAGAGGGTGCGGCCCTTTCCGGAAGGGTTGGAGGTTTTGCTGTTGGTTACTAGGGAACAATTTTACTTGCCTGAACCAGTAAGTTTAACTTGTAAAGGAACAAACAACAGCTCTCAATATTGCTAGACTGTCTGTGGTTCTGTTGGGAGTGACGTCGGTGGAATCAATTGGGTGATTAGACTTGGGATTCCGTCTGTTCCAGTTTAAATATAGCCAGGTATGAGATGGTAAGAATTCACAGTTGGGCTGTGACTGGAGCCGGTGTCAGTGATTAGGTCTTAGGTCTCAGTCCTGATGTTGTGGTGGGCTGTAAGGCTATATGACTCCTGGGATATTTAATGCAGTTCAGGTTACTCTCCTTGCATTAGTGAACTTATCACGTGTGTTTGCTACTTACTACAGTCTAATTTGTTAGTTTTTTTTTAGAAACTTCCAACTTGAAGCATTCCCTTTAATCCAAAATTTAAACTTAACCAGACTAACATTTAAATACAGTGGCTAAAACAGCAGGTCAGAGGCTAGGAATACTGCAGCGAGTAACTCCCCAAAGCCCATCCACCATCTACAAGTCACAAGTCAGGAGTGTGATGGAATACTCCCCACTTGCTTGGATGGGTGCAGCCCCAACAACACTCAAGAAGCTTGACACCATCCAGGACAAAGCAGCGCACCTGATTTACACCCCATCCCGTCAACTCCACCACTCAATCCCTCAGCCACTATAATGCTCAATAGCAGCAGTGTGTACCATCTACAAGATGTGCTGCAAAAATTCACAAAGGTTCTTTAGACAGTACCCGTGACCTTTATCACTGGGAAGGACAAGGGCAGCAGATATATGGGAACACTAGTCAGTTCCCTTCCTGAAGTGGGACCTTCGCTGTTGTCTGATCAGATTCTTAACACTCTGTCCCCAACAGAATTGTGTGTTACCTGCAACGCATGGACTGCAGCGGTTCAAGGAGGCTGCTCACCACCACTTTCTCAAGGGCAGAAAGGATAGGCAATAAATGCTGGCCCTGCCAGCAACGCTAGTGATCTCTTATGAAAGAATTAAAAATGCTCTCCCTGCCCCGTTCACATTCCCGGTTGTGGAGTTGAGTGAGATGCCCGCTGCCCTCAATCCGGTTGCTATTTGCTGCCGATCCCGTTCGGCTGCAGCTTCTGGCGGTGCTTCAGCTGCTTAAAATAGCACAAGTCCCGGGAATAAAACACGGAGCGGCGGCTCATTGCAAAACAGCGCCGGCTTCGACACACCGGGACCTGGGAGCGGTACCGAGCATGGCCGGGACCCCGATCATAGGTAAGGCCAGGGGGACAGAGACCTTCTCAGATCCAGACGGTCAGCTCCTGCAATAAATAATCTGACCCTGAGATGTTCGAGAGAGCAGAGTGTACATCGGGGGGCGGGGGCGGGGTGTGCAGTTTTCCCATGTCTTATTTTCTTATTGACTAGCCGTTTTTTGGGTCCCGCTGCTTCTGCATTAGAATGTTTCTGCTGTGGAGACTGGGCAAGAGTTGAATTTGAATATTTAAAATATTTCTACCTTCCCCTACCTAGTTCCAGAAAAATAAACCTCTCCCGCCTCAGAGAGCCACACAGAGCTTTAGAGACAAATAAATATTTTTATTTGCTGTTGTAATTAATGTAGGAAAATCCATTGTGAGGAGAAAAAAAACTAGGCGGGAGCTAAAGAGTTAAAGACAGCCAAAACATCTTATCCCATTAGCTTAGACTCAGTTCTTGAGATTAGTTCACTTGCTGTGACTCAGGACGGTGTGAAACTGCAGGGGTCAAAATAGCTTTCGATTCACTGCAGTTTGAAAGTTACAGGCAGTTCTGGTGAAGACCTGTTTCCGGAGAGTCAGGAACTGGTGGACAGAGAAGCTGGGTGGATGCAGTGTGATTGGGGATGGGTGAATATAGATAAGCACTTTTCCGTTATTCAGTAAGTTGTGCTGACGACCCAGTGGAAGCAGATTCAAAAGCAACTTTCAAAAGAAAATTGGATTAAAAAAACTTCGAAAGGCAGAACTTGTATAACTATGGGGAAAGAACAAGGGTTGGTTTGAACAGCTCCAAATGGCCTCCTTCTGTTCTTACCTCCTTATGATTGCACAGTCTGACCTTTCACTGACCCAGATCTGTCTTTCCCAATTCTACATTTATATTAGTTTAAACATTCAAACCATGCCTGACAATGTTGCCCCATATGCCATGATAACGTGTATCTCCACACAAAGCAAACAAAGTCTTAGAAATCCAGCTGCTGCACATTATTGTGTTTGAAGCACAGAATCAGGCCATTTGACCCAACTGGTCCACTTCTGTTTATGCCCCACAAAAGTCTCCTTCTATATAAAGCTGAAGGCAGTTTGTACTGCGATCGAGAATCAGTATGTCACATTTCACGTGATGACATACGAAGGGTCTAGGCCCGAAACGTCAGCCTTCCTGCTCCTATGATGCTGCTTGGCCTGCTGTGTTCATCCAGCCCTGCACCTTGTTGTCTCGGTCATTTCTGCTGGTGGGTTAATGATAAAAGGAGATGTAATTGAGGTTGGAGAGAGTAAATAGGGAAAGAGTATTTTGGGTTATCAATATCAGATTACAGTGAATAATAATGGGAATTAGGAGAATGACTTTGTGCAGAGGATTGTTGAAGCACAGAACACTTTACCACAGGGAATAGTTGAGACAGAAACTATTGTATCATTAAAGGATTTGGAGGAAGAATGGACCAATGGGGTTAGTTTGATATTGGTACAGTGTTATGGGCCAAGAGTGGGGCAGTGGAACTGATTTGGGAATGATCCATAGCTATTCGGAGATAGTGAAACTGTGGGATTAGTTTGAGAGTTATACAGAACTGTGGAGAGAGCAGGTCACAGGGATCACTTAGTGGTTGACACCGAGAGCAGGGCAGTGGGATGAATTTGGGATTGATACAGAATTATGGGTTGGGGGGGCCAGTGGGATAAGTCTGATTTTTTTTTCTAATATCAATCAAAGATGCAGAATGGTGTCACTTGGTTTTAAATTTTTAAGGTTCACTGTGATGGGCATATATGGACTGTTATAACTGTATCTGTGGAATGTAATTTGTGGTTAAGTGGAATGCTGTGTATCGAATCTATAACAGCACTAACTTTGAGGTATGAAAATCTAAGCCAACCTCCCAACCATTGACTCCACCTACACTTCTTGCTGCCTCAGGAAGGCAGCCAACATAATCAAAGAGTCCTCCCACCCTAGTTATAATCTCTTCTAATCTCTTCCATCGGGCAGAAGATACAAAAGCTTAAACACACGTACCAACAGATTCAAGAACAGCTTCTTCCCCGCTGTTAGTAGACTTCTGAACGAACCTCTCAAATTTTAAACTTCATGTTGATCTCACTGTTTGTGCACCTTCTCTGCAGCTGTAACATTGTATTCCACGTTCTGTTCTATTACCCTAATGCACTTTATATGGTATGATCTGCCTGTACTGCACGCAAAACAAAATTTTTCACAGTACCGAGGTACATGACAGTAATAAATCAAATCAAAAAATCTGGAAACACTGTATGCCCTCCTGAAAGTGAACTGTATGTAAATAAATAGCAAACACAATATCATAGAATTTCAGAAGAGTACAACATGGGAGGCTATTCAACTCATTAAGTCTGTGTTGTAGAGCATCTTCAGAAATTAAATCCACTGACTTCAGAAACTGAATAAAGTTGTCTTGTGAAGCACTTAGTATCATGTTAGAATGTCACCATGAAAACAGGCCATCCTTCCCTCCCTCCTGATTCTGTTATATGGCAGTAAAGGGTTCTTTCAAGTTATGCAATGTAGTTCATGGAAACATCACCTGTCTTTGTTGTCCTACCTTTTGTAATGATTTTTTGGTGACAGTTCAGTGTATTTTTATTATCAAAGACGATAATAATCAAAAACGCTAACAAATCACATGTAAAACCCTGATCCTAAGGGCATATTAAGGAAAATCCCAGGATGTTCCTCTTACCCTTCCTAGTTGTCCTTTATTACCCTGGCTTTACAGTCCTAACATAGTTTCAAAATAAGCTATTCAAACCCCTCAAAAGTATTTCACAATTTAAATCATAGCTGATCTGTATTCCAACCCATGTACTTGCCTTGGCTCCCCATCTTTTATAAGCTTGAACTCAATCAATCTCTGATTTAAAATTGTTACTTGAGTTACCATCTACTCACTTTTGTGAGAGAGTTTCATACTCGTACCAGGTCTTGTGTGAGATGTGTTTTCTAACTTCTCTCCTGAACAGCCCCACTCTAACTTGGGAACCCACCCCCCACCAACAAAGTAGTTTACTTTGTATCTACCTCATCAATTCCTTTCAAAAGCTTAAACACTCTAGTCTTCCACATTCCAGGGAATAGAAGCCAAGCTTACTCCCAGTTGCAGTGCCTGGATGAGTTCAGTTAACTTGACCAGGGATCTTCAATGAATCATTGACCCTAAGCTGGCATCTCTTATGAGGGGCCTTCACTTCTTCAGTTTGACTGAAGTAGTAAATACAAGAGTGAAAGATGTTCTAATGACTGTTACAATATAAACAACGATCATATTTCCTTTATCTTATTCCCTCCACAGCTGAAATGCCCAGACAATTCCCAAAGGTAGCACAGACAGAGGAGGATGAACAAGTGCGAATTATAGCAGAGAAGGTGTTTGCTTCTGCTCTGCGTGAGGAGGACACCAAGGATGCACTGTCTTTGTTTGACATTGCCGAAGACTGCCCGATTGGTAAAAAGGAAGCCACAGAAAGGGAGCTCCAGAAGGAGATTGCTGAACAGCAATCAGAGACCACAGTAAAGAGGTCTGCCCATGATTATCCAAAAATGATTCCAGTTTGACCCTGCACTAGAAATGTTGGGAAGAAACCTATTTCCTATACACTTTCAAAGAAGCATTACAAAACATAAAAGAGGATCAACTGCTGCTGGCTCTTTGAAGGAACTAATTAGTTCCTCTTGCCTTCTGTTGCCCTGTAGTTTTGCAAATATAGTTCCCCTTAAGTATTTATATAGACTCATGGTCATACAGCACGGAAATATAATTTCCTTTTAAAAGTTAACTATTGAATCTCTCTATTCCAGGTCATTATAACTTAAATACAAGTAAATCTCCCCTCTGATTCTTTTGCTAATTACCTGGACTGTGTGACCTCTGGTTATTGACCTTTCTACCAGTGGAATCATTTCTTGGAATCTAACATTCAAATCATTCATAAATTTGAACTCTTGTATTATATTTCCCCTTCCCCTTCTGTGTTTTAATACAAACAATCCTAGTTGTTTTTTAATTCTCTCAACATATGATACACAGTAGAGAATGCTTTACTTTATTTAATCCTGTGATTTACCTGACCTGTAACTTTTTGATGGAAACAGTGAAAAAGGAACTTTTGCTCTCTATCTAACACCCGCTGTACCTGTCAAGCGAGTGTCTGATGGCATAGTGTAAAAGGAAATTTATTATCTCACTGACCCAGACTGTACTTGTGAAGGGAGTGTCTGATGTCACAATGTAAAGGAAACTTTGCTGTCTGTACCTGTACCTGTCAATGGAGTGTCTGATTGCACAGTGTAAAGGGAACATCTACTCTCTATCTGACACTCACTACACCTGTCAAGGGAGAGTCTGACATCATAATATAGAGCAGGCTTTACAGAGTTTGACAGGGCTGTCCAAACATTTTTGCACAGGGATAAGGGCTGCATTTTAATTTTTCTCTCTCTTCAGGTTTAGTGGCAACTTTTAAGAATGAGCTTTGTTACAACAGCAAACATTAATTTCAGAAAAAACTTCCAAAGCAATAAAATGATATTTTAAATAAATGAGTAATTAATAAATAAAGGCAATTAAAATGTGCCAAGCAGCAGAGCTAACTGAACCCTTTTGTTTGCTCTTTTGGTTAAGAAACAGAGCTAGGTAGAGAAAATGGTCAGACCTAAATCCTGATTCCCAGCGAAAGGGGTGGGAACCTGGCCTCAGTTAACAAATTGGCTTTAATTAACACTGACCCTGTTTCACCTCTTGTGGGGCACAATCCAAGCTGGGGGTCAGAAGGGAGTTGTTCAATTAGGATTTTCCCACTCTGTTTTGTGGATACATTTTTGGGGAGGGAGGAGGAGGGAAAGGTGAGTGTGTAGCTCATTCCCACTCACTCAGCCCCCCGCCACCCCGTCACTCACTCACTCATCCTCCACCAATCACTCACTCACCAGTCAATCTCACTGCACCCCCAACCATGGTCGCTCTCTCATGACCCACCCAAATCTCATTCACTTGCTTCCCCAACTGACACTTACACCCCATCTCTGCTGCCCGACTCTTAGCCCCCAACGGCAGTAATCTGACTGTCATTTTCGTCTTCCCTAAGCCAGTTCCTGTCTGAAAGCCTCCTAGCCACTTAGCCTTGTTCAAAATACAGGCCACTAGGGATTCCAGAAGTTGCAAGAATTGAAAGGAAACAGCCTGTGATTGGAAGAGCTACAACTTCTGGGATCCCTAGTGGCCTGTATTTTGAACAAGGCTCAAGGGGCAACATGAGAGCCAAGGGGCTGCCTGTTGGACAAGCCTGCTCTGGAGCTTTTGCTCTGGCTGATAAACTCTTCAAATTCTCTTCCAAGAGATGGGGGCAGAGTTGTAGTGACGCTTTTAGCTTAAGGCATCCCTCCACATGATAAAGGAGAAACACAGTAAAAGTTTCACTTTTATAAAGAAAAACTTAGTCCACTCCTTTTCCTCAGCACACAGTTTGTTTGTTTGCTGATCTACAATGGGTCCCAATCTGTCAACACCTCAATTACTTCAAATCACTCCACAGCTTTGCCCTCTGCTAATCTTAGTAATTCCCCCCAACTCCTGAGCACTTGGCGATCTTTGCTGTCCTCTGATTTTTGTTACTCCACTTGAATCCTTCATCAGCTGCCTTGGTCCTAGGTTCTGGATTTCCATCTTTAAATTTCCTCTCCTCTTTGCTCCTTTTGGACACCTGCCCTAATGTCCCCTAACGTGACTCAGTTTCTCTTTGCTAATTGTTTCTGTGAAGTCCTATGAGACGTTAAGGCTGCTTACATGGTAAATGTTGTTGGTAATTTGCCTCCTGATCCAAGTTTGTTCTTTTTTCTCTCTGTATTAAATGTTCAATTAACACCCTCCCACAAAGTCTCTGAATATTGAAGCAGGTTATCGATTTCAATCAACTTTACTTGTGTCAGTTTTCTTTTTTGATAACAGAAGACTTCAATCATATTTCCTTCATCTCTATGAACTTCTCTTTTCCCAGAAAGAAGAGCCTGAGGCTGATTCGATCCCATTCGTTGTCCTTGCAGATCCCAACTCCTGATGTGACTTTCTCAGTTGTGGATTCCCCATCTTTGACCCCACAGACGCCCATTCCGAGTGTCCCTTTGTTTGGAATACAACTGCCCTATGATGTGCCTGAGTTTCAGCGAGTGACCATTACTGGAGACTACTGTGCAGGGGTAATAAGCACGTCACTACAGTTGATTTTATAATTCTCATCCATCTTTTTCTCAAATCCCTCCGGGGTTTTAATCCTTCCTATGTGTGTAAAGTCCTCTAGCCCTACAACTAAGATATCTGTGCTCCATCAGTTTTGAGCCTTTAAGCATCCACTATTTGTGGCCAGGCCTTCAGTCGGTGGGTTCTGAGCTCTGGAATTTCCTCCCTATCTCTCCTCCTTATAAGGTGCTTCTTAAAACCTGAAATAAGAGGAGAAAGTATTTGAACTACTTTACATCGTCTGTGGAATGAGAATCAGAGCTGATGTACCATTCTACTACCTACTACCACTCTACTGTTCTATAAGATTTTTTACCTTATGAAATGAAGTGAAACAAAAATAATTTTATCTACTCATAGTTCACTCCTTTGATCTAACTCAAGGTCTCTCCGAAAGAGTGAGAAACAGTCTGGGCCCTTTCTAGCCTTATCCAACTTTCTTGTACTTGTAATGTTACTAAACTAATAAACCACGGATCGTAATTCAAATCCCACCACAGCTGTGAATTGAATTCAGGGTATTAAATTAATCTGGAATAAAAATCTAGAATCAATAATGGTGGCCTGATGGATTCTGAAGATGAACCTAGGACACTAACGTCCTTTAGGAAAGGAAATCTGCAAAGAACGCTTGCCATCCTTTTGGGGCGGCACAATGGCACAGTGGTTAGCACTGCTGCCTCACAGCATCAGGGACCTGGGTTCAGTTCCACCCTCGAGCGACTGTCTGTGCGGAGTTTGCACCTTCTCTTTGTGTCTGAGTGGATTTCCTCCCATAGTCCAAAGATATACGGGTTAGGTGAATTGGCCATGTCAAATTGTCCATTGTGTCAGGGATGTGCAGGCTAGTTGAGTCAGCCATGGGAAATGCAGGGTTACAGGGATAGGGTAGGGGTGTGGGTCTGGGTGGGACACTGTTTGGATGGTTGGTGGGGAATCGATGGGCTGAATGGTCTGCTTGCACACTGTAGGGATTCTATGATTCTGACCCAGCCTGGCCCATGTTTGTCTCCAGACTTAGCAATGTGGCTGATATTAACTGCCCTCTGAGTAAGATAACTCATCAGTACCAGTATTAAGGCGAGTATGTACACAGTCTTAACAGTGTCACCTATGTGCTGTGACTGAATAAAATGGCTTTGTCTTCTCTTCTCCACCGTTCCTTCTACCAAACTCCGAACATTTTTAAAGAGAGTGCATTAACAATTTTCACTAGTCTAAAGGATCACTTTGGACTGAGTAGCTGGTATTTTATGTGCCAATTGGCATCTCCAAATATTGGCAGTTTTAACCTTGAATGAAATAACCACAGTATACAAGTCAATTAATATTGCTTCTGTACAAACGTACTAAGAAGTTTTTTTTTGTGGAATACAAAAGAAGCAACAAGATAAATCAACAAGTTGGGGTTATGTAGAATTATATAAGGTATATTCATTTATTCAAAATTAGGATGTGAGCATTGCTGGTAAGGCTTGTCCATCCTCAATTTCTCTCAAGAAAGTGGAGAATAGGGTGGAGATAAGGTACCTTCTTCAACACAACTGAATATCATGCTGGGCATTTCCAGAGAAGCAGCTTAAAAGTCAATCACGTTGCTGAGGGTATGACTGAGTAAGGACGACAGATTTTCCTCCCTAAAGGATATTAGTGAACAAGATGAGTTATGGCAACAATTTGATTGTTTCAATGGTAACCATTGTTCTAGAGTATGGAAACGGGCCATTCAGAAATTCAAGGCTGTAGTGGAGTTTATGTTCGACAAGAACCTCTTTCCATCTTACTTTCTCTTACCTTGTGCAATACAAACTTGGAATTTAAGGCCAGTAGGCTTAGTTTGGAACTGGGAAGACTGAGGGTGGTGAGGACTTCCACAGCCCAAGAGATGCTGAGAATTAGGAGTAAAAGTTAAGTCTAGACTTGGATACAATGAAAGAGAAGGGGAAAAAAAGGAAACGTTTAATGAGTTCTGTCCTCTACTGTCTGACCAGATCACCGTAGAGGACTATGAACACGCTGCCAGAGGCCTGATAAAAGCCTTGTTCATTCGTAAGAAGTACATGCGTCTTGCTTATCAGCTATTTCCCAGAACAACAGGCCAGTACCTACAATCAATTGAAAACAATCAATGGCTAGAGGAAGATGAAGTTTTACCAGGTAAGTGGATTTGAATTGTATGTGTGCATGTATATATGGAGGGTATGCGTGTGCTTGTGTCTATGTATTTGAGTCTGTCCATCTTGGTGTTCACTATATTAGAGGATTTTTAAGTGTCAGTGTATTGGGAAGAGTGCATGCATGTTGAGTATATCTATTTCAGTGTGTGTCTGTATATTTGTGTGCATTTTAGAGGTGTTTATATGTATGTACATGTTTGTGGCATTGGGTTGGGGTAGGGGTTGTGCAGAATGGAAGCAGGACACGATATGAGTGCTAATTTAACAATTTCTATTGTGATAGGAATCCCAGCCAGTGACTTGAAATCTGGGCACTAATAACCAGTTAATGAACCATCATGCTTCATAAAACTCAGGTTTTGATTTTGACACAAGTAAACATAAAGTTGTATAAAGTAACAGTATGTAAAATGTATGAATATTTATTGCTTCAGAGATAGTAGGAACTGCAGATGCTGGAGAATCTGAGATAACAAGGTGTAGAGCTGGATGAACACAGCAGGCCAAGCCGCATCAGAGGAGCAGGAAGGCTGACGTTTCGGGCCTAGACCCTTCTT